AAAAAATAAAAAAATATATGTATAAAATTATTAATTAATTAGGTGAATTAGTTTAATTTATGATTAATGAGGTTAATTAATCTTAATTAAAATCAATGAATCATATTTATTGAGTTTGAGATGATTAGATTTATTTAATTATCTTAGCAATGATTAGTAAATGTGATTAATTAATTTTGATTAATTTTAGTTAATGTTAAGTTAATTATTCAATTAGACTAATTACATTGAGTAATTAATTTCAATTTTCAATCAACTTTAACGTTGGTCAAAGTCAAAATTATCTTTGTTTATCTCAATTTCACCTAAAGTTTTATAATTAAGCAATTCAATCCCAAGGTTACCAATCTTTTTTTGAATCAGTCCTCATGTTTTGGAACTTAATCAAATCAGTCCTTCATGTTTTGAATTTAATCAAATTAGTCCCTTTAATTTTTATTTGTGCTTATGATGCATGCATGTCTTTGATTTTGTCCATTCTAGTCCAAAAATTCAAAAAAAAAAAAAAAAGTTTCAATTTGGTTTATCCTTTTTTTAAGTTTGCCTATTAAGACTTAAACATAAATGTAATGAATAAGTTGAATTAAAACCTCAATTTTAAAGTATGCAACCGTATTTAAATGGAGAATCGTGAAGTGCGTATATGCTCTTCCTCACTCTTAACCGAACCCCCGAATCCTAATCTCTACGCAGACACATTTTAGGTGACTTGTCGCACCTTATAATTTGGACGAGTGGCAACTCCCTCCTTTTTTTAGGTTAAAACCCCTTTTTGGTCCCTGAACTATTGTACGGACCCTCGATTTGGTCCCTAAACTAAAAAAAATCCCTAATTTGGTTCCTACTGTTTACCATTTTTACCCCGATTTGGTCCTTCCGTTAAAAATTGTGACGTGGCCTGTTACTTCACGGCTACCAAATGACATATCATATAGTAATCCACGTGGAAGATAATATAGCCAAAAAGTGATGATGTGGAAAAAATAATAATATAAAAAAATATTATGAAAAATAAAACTTAA